TTTTCCTGGTACAACAATTTGCTTCCCACAAGCAGAGGCAGGGTCAGATGAATTTAATGGCAGTGCCATTTGTTTGCAGAGCTTTTGAAAATAAAGATTGGCTAATATGTTCTGGATTGGCTTGCTCATATCTCCAAGACCCAGAACAGCTGCTGTCCCATGGTTTTTCTCCTTCCCTTTTGGGTTGGTTTGTTGTGGGTTGTTTCTTTTTTTTTCCAAATGGCCATGACTCAGCCCTTCCCTGCTGCTCTCTGAGTTTCCTGCTTTCTGAATAGGCTATTCTTGGGACAGCAATTCCTGACAGATAGGAACAAGGGGACTGTTGTGTTGTTTTCTTCTCTATTTCTTCTGTGGCCCAGTAAGTGCTCTGCTTCCCTCTGATTTTTGCCTTTTTTCCCACATTACTGAATCCTCCTAAATTGTTGGATGTCATCTGGGGCACGTTTTTGCCCTTGTAGCAGAGGGGCCCTCTCAGACATGATCCAGGCTTGCCCAGCAGCAGCTTTTCTTTCCCAGCAGGATGGTGGGGACAATCCCATGGATGGTTAGTTAGCAAGGAGGGTTAGTTTTATCTATTCTAAAGCTCCAATCTGCCTTGGTGTAGCCCCTGTGACTCCAAGGAGCTGTGCTTGGCTCTCCAGTGATCTCCTGGGCAAGGGTAGATCCAAGTGAGGACCAGCACGTGGTGCCACGTCCATGGAGGGTCAGGGGGCTCAGCCTGTGTGTACTGTGACAAGTAAAGGGAAAATAGCACCTAGAATTTAAAAACAATGAAAAAACCCTTTCTGATGGCTTATTTATTGCCCCCCGTGCAGATGGGTGATGGATGCTCTCTCTGAAACACTTCATGGTGCAGTTACCCAGCCTTTTGAAACAAAAACCTTTTGGATTTGTTCTGAAGTTTACTCTCTGTAGTGTGGGCTGGGGAAAGTCACCTGCTGTGGCAGGGAGCACCCCAGGCCAGGTGTGCTGGCTGCTGCTCTTGGTGTGCACTTGGAAGTGAATGAATTGTCTAAAACTGAACAACCTTTGCTGGGTTTAGTTTTATTAAGAGCCCAGCTCTTTCTGTCAAGCCACAGTTGTATGTGAGGGAGAAATAGCCTAAACTGTTGTATATTTGCCTTGAAAATACAGTTGGCTTTTTGGAAAACCAGAGGGACTCTATGTTTTCTCAAAGCCTGTAGTTACCAAGAGAAATTTCTCAGACTAGAGGGCTCCAAACACAGGGGCAGTGTTCTTCCCTAGCATCCCTCCACGTTTTTGGATATGCTGGATTGTTGTTAAGCCAACCAAGAGAAAAGCTGCTCTGTGTGTGAGGAGGCTTTGAGAACATTCACTGCCAGATTAAATTAGCCTTTCTGAGAATAAATTAGTGGTTGTGATGCAGGCAGCCCCACTCTCTCCAGCTGTAAAATCTGTGCGTGCTGGTACCCGCAGCAGATAAATGATGTGTTCAGGGCTCTGCTGTTAACAGGAGATTACATTTCTGGCTGGGGATGAATGAAAAGCAGCCTGTTAGATTTTATTGATTATTTCTTCAAATGAGAAGCATTTCCTTTTAAAGCATTTAATTTTAAAGCATTTTCTTTTAAAAGGAGGGGGAAAGGAACCCATGGGATTCAGTGCGGCTCCATCTTGGGAGGAAATGATGGACTAGAGCCAAAGCTGCTCCCCTGCTGCAGTGACTCCAAGCTGGGATGGTTTTGAGATCCTCAGGGGTGCCAGTCACCCAGCTCATGGCAGGAGGGGAGCTGGGTCCATGTGTTGGAGGGGAGGATAAACCCTGGAATATGGAGCAGAGGAGTGCAGTGGGGATGGGATTTTGGCTGCTGCCCACTCCTCTGGGCTTGTGTTTTTAGCTGAGCACTGGATAAAAAGCTGCTGCTGGTGTGTGCATGCTGCCCTTTTCTAAGAGGCATCTTTGATTTGTCTCCTGATTAACTAAATGCCTTTATTGTGCTTTGTGCTGGATCAGGAAGAGCTCACAGGAGGCTGGGCCTGTGCTGAAGGCTCAGCTTGTCCTTCCCACCTGCCCTGCTGGGCCCACTGAGCTCCTCCAAAACCTTCATGCAGGCTTTGAGCAAGAGGGGAATAGATTCCCTTTCCTGCTGTTTAATATCAGCCCTTTCCCTGGGCCTGTTGCAGGTCTTCACAGAGGTGTCATCTGGGGCATGTTTGTGTTTTGGGAGCAGAGGTTTCCCCCAGAGTTCGTGGCTGCCACAGGGGGTGTTAATTGAGCCTTTCAGTCTCTCCTTGCCGTGATTCAGGAGGGTTCAGCGTGGTGGGAGCTCGGTTTGGAGCTGCCTGCTGAGCTGCTGTGATGTGAGAGAAAGCAGTTCCCATCGGTTCAGCGTCGTAACCGTGGCAGCTGCTCTGCCTTCCTCAGGCTCAGGAGGGGATTTGAGCAGCTGAGCTGTTTACCTGCCCTGAGGACATCCTGCTATTATGGGCTTGAATCTCCCCTGTGCCATGCTGTGCTGGGGGAGCAGTGACCCTGCCTCAGACTGCTCCAAAGCCCTGCCCAGAGATGGAGCAGCGAGGCACTGAGGGGTTCTGTGACACAGAAAGGGCTTGGAAGAGCCCAGAGCAGGGACCTGGGGAGGGATGTGAGGGCTGTGCTGTGTGTTAGGGCTGCTTGGAGTCCAGCTCTGTCCCAGATTTCAGTAGGAGCTTTGGGGAAGGGGTTATGAAGGAGTTGGCAGGAACTGGTGCTGCAGATTGAAACCACAGTGATGGAGGAGTGAAAATGACTTTGCTGGACTGGCCAGGTCAGGTGGGAAATGGAGGAATAATTTGGGATGGCAGGAGCTCTGTGTAACTCAGGGGTGCCCAGCACTGGGCACACTCACTGGCTGTTGATTATTCCAAGGGTTTTCCCCTCTGGGACATCATCATCCACCTTTGAGCAGCCCAAATGAGTTGGGCTTGGGAGCAGGGCAGTGCCAGTGCCCTCCTCCTGTCCCAGTGCCAGGGGACGATCCAGCCCCGTGCTGGTGGCCCTGGGAGAGGTCCCGGTCTGAACTGGGCAGTTCTGTGGGAGCAAGGAGGTGAGTGTGGTAACAGGAATGGCCTCAGCAGGGAAGAGTTCCTCCAGTGCACATCCTGGGATGGGTGTGGCTGCTCCTTGCTGGGACTCAGGGGTTATCTCAGACCTCACACACACGATCCTGCTGAACCCCAAACCCCTCTCCTTTGCAAAGCGTGAGCCTGGCCCTTACATAAAACTGAGTGACACAGAGCATTTCTCACTAGTCCTCAGAAAAAATGCAAGGTGACATTGTACCAGTTAAATCTGAGTGTCAGCAGCTTCCCTGGCACCGAGGCAGGGGGATCTGTGAGCATGGGAAATGCTCCTGCTGGAGACTGGAGCTACAGTGACTGCTGCTCTCCTCAGTGCCTGGCAAATGTTCTGTACAGCCCTGAAAATGGATCTGGAATCACCACCAATGTATTCCAAATTATTTCATTGTGTTGCAAAATCTGCAAGGGAATTCTGAATACGCTCTTGGGCTCTGATTAATTCTGAAGCTGAAATGCAAAAATGCTGATCAGCTCTGATTCTAATTTCTTCTTCCCTTGGAGCTCTCTGTGTCATTTAATGGACGTCATACATGTCCTCAGTCTGATTCAGCAGTGATGTAGCTGTGCTGTTTGACTTTCTCTCAAAAAATTCTGTAGAAGGAGGGAGAAATGAAAGAGTGAGTGTTTAAAGAAATAAAATATTTTTAATTTGATGTTGGAAAGGGAATCTATAAAACCCTGGGGTTTGCTGTGAGACATAGTGGGTACTCATTGTGTATTCACCTGCTCTGTGCTGCTGTCCCCCAGATGGGAGGCAGCAGGAGATGCTTTTTTGTGTAGTAACTGAAGAGCAGTACTTGGTGCCTGGGAATGACCTGGGGTGCTCCATGGAGAAGCTCCAGGCTGCCCAGTCTCCAAACCATGAGTGCTGGGAATGGGAGGGACTGACAGTGCTGCCTTTGATCCCTTCCTAGCTCATCCCTAAGCCTCTGTTCTGGGCTGCCATAAGAGGTGAGCTCGGATCTGTGTCTGTGCTTAAGAGCTCTGGATCTTCTCCTGACCTCCTGAGGCTTCTGCTTGCTGTTAAGCTTCTTTAGCTGGGGTATTTTTGTTTGCTTGTTTCAATGAGCAGCTATTCTTGTGGCACAGTTGTGCTTCATGCTACATTAAAACACTCTTGGAGTAGATGTTGGGTTTAGTTGCTTGAGATTCTGGCAGGTTGTGTTATCACCCTTATTAACAGATATCAAAGGGATGATGTAATGCAGGATGTGTCCTCTCAGGGGGGAAATTAAGTAGATACAGAGGACTGGAGGCAACAGCTGCTGCTATCACTGGATGCTTTCCCATGGATGTTATCAAGTGTGAGCTTGGATCCTTTGTGAACTGCAGTGAAAGTCTCATGGAGAAGCTCTCTGCTTCCCCAGGGTTTGGCTTGCAGCTCCCTCCCTTTCTCATCTCCCTGGAGCACACTGGTAGGATGCAGAGGAGCTCAGCTTTATCTTTAGTGTTGCTTTAATCACATCCATGAGCACACCTGGTGTTTTGCAGCCAGGAAGGGTCTGAACAGGGAGCACCTCCTGAGTGGGCCAGTGGCAGCCTGGGGGGCTGCACTGTGCTCCCTGCTTGCTCTGTGCTCACAGAACTGCCTTTTGGGGGCCAAATTCAGCTGCCCTGGTGGTGCAGAGTGCTCTGTCTACACCTCAGCTTTCCCCAGGAAGGGCTGGGGTCCAGTTTTGAAGTGTGGGGCTGTGACCCCCTCGTCCCTTGCAGCCCCTCCTGGCTGTCACCGTGAGCTCTTTGCCAGCGTGACGCTTCCCACAGCCCTGTGCCCCATCCCGGGAGCCGGCAGCAGAGAGAACAACCCACCCCAGTTTGTTCTTTTTTTTTTGGCCGGTTTTTCTTTAAATATCCAGGTTAAGCAGGTCCTGGCAAGGCTGTTTCTGCAGCCCCGGTGCGAAGAGAGCCAAGAGCGCTTGGTCAGCCCATCCGGAGGCAGCACTGGAGAGAATCCCAGAGGCGGCAGCAGGTCCTGCAGGCACTCCTCCCGCACTTAACCCTTCGTGGGAGCTGCAGATGGAGCCTCCTTGTTTGAAGCAGGGAGGATTTAGTGTCTGGTTTCTCTGATATCCATGAGGAGGAGCTGCTGGATGTGGTGATTTGAATCTCTGGCCAAGGACAGCTGAGCCGGGGCTGCGCTGTGGAGATGATCTGATTGTGCTTTGGATTTAATGCCCTGGGAAATCTTGCTTTGGATGCAGCACCTGGCTGGCAGCGAGGATCCTGCTCTGAGGTGGTTTGTGTGCTGGGTGATGGTGGCACACAGAAGGTCACAGGATTCGTGCAAGGTCCCCAGGTAAACACTGCAATGGGGAAACTCCTCTGGAGATCCATGCACTGGAGAGCAGAGCAGGGAGCTCTGGCTCTCTGACATACCTGCTTCAAATGATGATAAACCTTCTTCTGCAGCATTCCTTTTAAAGGAGAGCTGCTGGCCTGCCTTGCCAGCTGAGCTTTCTGTGCCTGCACTGAAGGAACAGCCTGAGCCTCCTGGAAGGAGCAATTTTCTGCAGCTGAAATCTTAGTGCAGAAGTGTGGAAGAAATCTGCTGTTCTGAGAGCAGCCTGGCTGTTCCTGAACAGTGAGTTCATGCTCCCTGGCCGTGACTTGGACTTGGGAAAAGGCAGCTGAGTTGCTCAGAAAAAGAACAGAGCTTTCCTTCAGTCCTTCACTGGGGTTTCTGTTTCCATCGGCGCCGTGCAGAGCGTTGCAGCATGCGCCCCCTTGCTGCCTTGGCTGAGAGCAGGATGAGGAGTTGAGGAGGTGCTGCCAAGGTTAGCAGTGGGTAAAGGAGCGGGTACACGGTCAAGGATTGCCAGGACATGCTCTCTGAAGGAGGCTGGAGCACTCTGTGCTGTTTATTCCTCCTCCTGGTTCCGGGAGGTGATGTGCAGGCTGGGGGCAGCAAATGCGCATGGGAACAGGCAAAGCTGAGGGGGAGCTTTGGCTTGTTTGCATGGAGAACATCTTTTTGTTGTTCTGCATAAAAACCAGGCAGAAATAACCACTGATAGTGCTTGCTCAGCAGAGATTGGTGCTGCCTTTCCTTTGGAGGTAAGATCTCTCTGGTGGGATTGTGTGTGGTGGGAGCTGAGCCACAGCCCTGCACAATGTGCCAGAGGGCACAGCATGGAGAGGGCAGAGCCTGGGAGCTCTGGGCACAGCAGGAGCAGAGGGCAGAGCCTGGGAGCTCTGGGCACAGCAGGGAGAGGGCAAAGCCTGTGAGCTCTGGGCACAGCATGGGCAGAGAGGAACATCCCTGTGAGCCCCAGGCACAGCACAGAGAGGGCAACATGGGCAACATCCCTGGGAGCTCTGGGCATCACACAGGCAGAGGGCACCATCCCTGTGAGCTCCAGGCACAGGTGTAACATGGAATGTGCAGCTCCAGGCTGGCTTTGGAGGTGCTGTTCAGAAATGCCATTGTGGAGGAGAGTGATTGGGATTGGGATTGCCACAGTCAGGGTATGGCTCTGTCCCCCTCAGCACACCCTGCTCAGTTCTCCCTCCTTGGTGCTCCTAAAGCTCCTTTTGAAAAGGAACAGACTTTGGCTCAAATGACATTTTTGGCAGCCTCTGACTGGCCTTTTGTGCCTTCCTGGTCTCAGTGTTTCCCAGTTTCTGGAGCATGTCACCTGTTCCTATTTCTAAAGCATTTCTAAATGCTGGGCTCAGTGAGGGCCCAACATCTTCGGGACTCTTGGCTTTTAAAGCTGTATTTCCAAAAGCCTGGAAGCTGCAATCTGCATCTCTTTGATGTGCAGTGAAGCTGAAAGTGCTTGTAGATTTTCTCTTATTTATTCATTGAATTTTAGTGTGTTTTTTTCCTTTTTCAAATATCAGAAGTTTTTTTTTTTTCATGGAAGAAGAGCTCCAAAAAATGTGCAGCAGCAGCTTTGGAAGTGTCAATGTCACTGAACGTGGCTGAGTGTGAACAAATGCTGCTTCCTGTCCCAGGGCTGGAGCCACTGCTCCCATGGAGGGAGCAAAGCTGAGTTTCTGTGCATCTCAGTCCCAAGTGCAGCAGCAGCAGCAAGGACAGCACAGGCTGTTTGAGTGTGGGATGGATCTCAGAGCTGACTCAGAGCTGCTGGGCCAGCACTGCACCAGCAGGGCTCACACGTGAGCTGGACCTGCCAGCATCTGCTCTGCCCTTGCCAGGTTTGTCCCACCCGTGGAGATTTCATCTGTGAGGAGGCAGCCTGAGGCACAAACAGCTGCTGCTGGGGAGGAATGGCGTGAGCAGAGCAAATCTGAATTAACTGCGTCCGTCCTCTTCGTGGCATTATTTGTTTTATGGTGTTAGGAGCTGTTCTGGTGGCACAATATTCCCTGGTCCCACTGCACACCAGTTGTTTTTGGTGAGTGTTTGGAAAGCAGGTGGGATGTGCAGACCTTTCCATGTTTGAATCCCAAACTGTTTCTGCAGTGATGTAACAGAGGGAAATACAGCCAGCCCTGACACATCAGCTCCTCTCATCTGCTGGGAGTTGCTTTCTATCAGTTTTGAGCATGTCAGTGATGGGAACCAGGGCTTTGGGGTATTGATCAGTGCCCTCTGGACAAGGGATGGAGGGACAGGACACAGGGAATGGCTCCCACTGCCAGAGGGCAGGGATGGATGGGATATTGGGAATGAGGAATTGTTCCCTGTGAGGGTGGGCAGGCCCTGGCACAGGGTGCCCAGAGCAGCTGTGGCTGCCCCTGGATCCCTGGCAGTGCCCAAGGCCAGGCTGGACAGGGCTGGGAGCAGCCTGGGATGGTGGGAGGTGTCCCTGCCATGGCAGGATGTTGTAGTGGGATGGGCTTTAAGGTCCTTTCAAACCAAACCATTCTGTGATCCTACAGTCCCTCAGTTGCTGAGCTGGGGGCTGCTGAGCGCAGGAAGGAGGTGGGATATGAAGCTCTGTGTCCCCACAGGCAGGGCTGGTGCTGCCCACAGTGCCTGGGCTGTGTGAGAAGCCTCAGACAGCCCTCCTGGGGCTGAGAGCCGGGATCTGAGCAGGGCACCTGGAAATCTGCTGCCATCTTCTCACCCAGAAGCTGCCTGGAGTGAGGTGAGGGAGCACAGAGCCAGGGAGGACACAGGGACTGAGGCCATGGCAGGGTGGGCCAAGCCCTTTCTGTGTGAGGCTGTGATGGAACTGTGCTGCCTCTGTCTGTCACACTGCTGTGTCCCAGCAGGTTAATGGGAATCCTTTTCATTTTCTTTAGCAAATATCAGTTTCCTGGGGGGCATGAGGGTCCTTTGCCTGGCTTTGTGTTTAACTGATTGTGCTGATTCTGTTTCCATAGTGGATTTATCCTCTGTACTTAGTTTGCAGAGGAAGCCAGTAAAAGCTCTTCTTCCAGTTGAGAAGAGCTAATCTGCATTTGTAGCTGGAAATAGCATCTCCTCTCTCCATCCTGCTCTGATAACCAGCTCCTTTTGAGTCTCAGGAGCTTGCAGTGTGTCCTTGCTCCAAAGGACCCGCACAAGACAATGGTGATTCCATCAGATCTTAAACCTGGTCATTTTGGATGGTAATTTTGGAATACTGCAGGGCTGTCAATGGTGAGGGATTGCTCAGTGCCAGGGGAAGCCCAGTGCCCCCTGATATCCCACAGAACTCTCTGTCAGAAATGGGCTGAGTTTTGTGCTGCTCACATTAAGATGAAAGAAAGCACAGGAGAGAAACAGCTTCTAAGAGGCTTAAAAGCAACAGGCTTTATTTTCCTCCTGGGAAGGGCACACAGCCAACATCTTGCTCTTTACAGATCTCTCTTAATAAGCAGAATATTGCATTAGGAGCAACTGAGGCTGCCAAGTGTGAGCAGAAGGGCCCTGCATCCCTCAGCTTCCCTCATCCCAGGGCACGTGTGGCTCTGGGACCAGGGCTGGCACCCTCTGGGCAGGGTGGCATCTTCATGGCTCCCCCTGGGGCTGTTGCTTCATCTCATGGGTGTGGATGGAGTGCCTCGTGAGGCCTCCTCCTCCTCTCCTGCCTTCTCTTGCCAGCTGCTTCGATGGGGGGAGTGTTGAAAGATTATGATGGGAAAGCAGCATGTGAGCAGGAATGGGAGGAGATGTGGTGTGGGCACAGTTGGCTGTGAGGGAAGGAAGGAAGGAAGGAAGGAAAGCTCCCTGGTGTCACCAGGTAAGGACTCTGGGGTGCTCTGCTTGGGCTGGGCTCATCCACAGCCCCTGCAGGCACGGGCACAAGAAGGTCTGAGGCTCCTGGGTGTGCAGGGTTGGCTGCTTTGAGAAGAATAAATCCTCCTTTTCTTCACATCCCCACTGAGCTAAAAGGAGCACGGCCCAGTTTGAGCTTTGTAGGTCACTGCAGGAGAAGGCAGGCTCTGCAGTGTGCCTGGAAATGCTCTCTGCCATGGCAACTCTGCTTGCCTGGCTCTTCAGGAGGAAACTGGAGTGAGAAGCAGAAGATGACCCCCAGCTGCCCCTGGTGTTACTCTTTGAAGCTTTGTGGCTTCAACTTGGGGGGAGAAATTCTAGTCAGGAAATGTGGACATCCAGGGGGAGACCCTGTGAGCCCCTGTGCCTGTCAGGAGTGTGCTCAGCCCCTGGGGGGGATCAGGGAGCAGCAACAGCTCAGGTGCTCCCCTAATGCAGGCACTGATTGAATTCCTGCTGCCTTGCAGGAGGCTGTGGGGTGGCAGGGAGGGTGACCTAGGGAAAAAGGAGTGGAATGAAGCAAAGCCATGCAGGTGAGGGAGGGATGGGTGTTCCTGCCTTGCTTGCCAAGTCTTTGGCTCTGCTTGGACCTGGCAGCTGCAGGTGGAGGTGGCTGAGCCCCAGGGGCACCTCTGTGGGCACAGCTCAATGCAGGGCTGGGGCAGGGCTGGCTGCCAGTGCAGGCTGTGCCAGGCTGGGCGGGTTGGCATGCTCTGGGCTGGCTGCCCAGCACGTGGCTCTGGTGCCAGCAAAGGGGACAAGCAGAGTCACATTTGCTCCTGGCCTGTTGGGTGAAGGATGGAGCTCCCAGCACTGCTCCCTGGGCTCTGACAGCAATGGCACCCTGTCCCAAGCACTGAGTGAGCAGCCTCTCTCTTGTATTTCCCAATTTATCACATCCTACCAGCTATAACTGAGCCACTGCACATGGGGAAATCAGGTTTCTGGATGTTGTTGCACTTGCTTGGATCTCAGAGTGTGTCAGTGGGGCTGTGCCATGTGCCAGGGACACAGAGCCTCATGCCTGCCACTGAGGGGGCACATGGGGACAGAGGGGTTTGGTGTGGCAGGCAGGACAGTGCTGCAGCTCTGCCTCCTCTCCATCTCTAATTCACTTGTAATTCCTTTGACACAGACCCAGTGGAAGAAGTCACCTTCCCAACTGCCCTGCTCAGAGGAGCTGCTTCTCTCAGCTGTCAAGGCCTCTGAGTGTTGCTGCAGGGAAGAGGACAGGTAAATTCTGTTAAATATGGTCTTACCTTCACTCACTGGGTTTATTTTGAGATTTATCTGGAAATGCTCTGTGGGTTTGCACCCTCTGTCCCTGAGTTTGTGCTTCAGGCTCAGGGTGGGGGTCCTGCCATCCCTCAGGGCACAGCCTTGTGTCACTGAGGGTGGAGCTTTGGGGCTGTGGGCAGCTCTTCCCCACCTTTGGCACCCCAGTGATGCAGCCAAGCCTTGGCACAGCACATTCCAGCCCAGCACTGCCCTGGGGTGTGGCCACACAGCCCAGAGCTGCCCTGATGAGCTCTGTGCACCAGGGGGGCTTTCCATGGAGCTGGCAGGAAGATTTTACACCTTGGGGTTGCTGCCTGCTCAGGGCCTGTCCAGCTTTGGGGCCACACCCCTGCTTCTGCCTGGGGGGAGCTGGGGCTGATGCAGTGCTGGCACCAGCCCTGGCCCCTCTGTTCCTGTCACCTCCATCCCCAGCTCCCTGTGCCACCAAGGCTGCCAAGGTCACCTGAAGGTTTCTGTCCCTGCAGGGCTGCCTGAGCCATGTCCAGCGATCCCCCCCCTCCCTACCCGGGGGGCCCCTCGGCGCCGCTGATAGAGGAGAAGCACGGCCCCCCCTCAGCACCAGGTACTGGGGGGCACTGGGGGGCACTGGGGGGGCACTGGGGGGGCACTGCCACACACAGCACCCAGCTGGGGGTGCCCTGGGCCTGCCTGGCTGCCTCTGTCCCCGTGGCACCCCTGGGGGAGGCAGGAGGGCTCCAAGGGGCAGTGACCCAGCTCAAAGCCTGGCACTGCTCCCTGCTGTGGGGTGAATTTGGGTTTCTTGTGGGCCAGAGGAGTGTGATGGTGTTCACAGGGGTCCCAGGATGAGGGAAGAGACCAGGATCTGACTCCATGTTTCAGAAGGCTGATTTATTATTTTATGATATATATTATATTAAAACTATACTAAAAGAATAGAAGAAAGGATTTTATCAGAAGGCTGGCTAAGAATAGAATAGAAAAAGAAAGAATGATAACAAAGGCTTTGGTCTTGGACAGAGAGTCTGAGCTAGCTGACTGTGATTGGCCATTAATTAGAAACAACCACATGAGACCAATCACAGATGCACCTGTTGCATTCCACAGCAGCAGATAATCAATGTTTACATTTTGTTCCTGAGGCCTTTCAGCTTCTCAGGAGAAAAATCCTAAGGAAAGGATTTTTCATAAAATGTGTCTGTGACAGACGAGGATGTGGCTTAAGGGGTTGCCCCCACCTCTTGTCTCCCTTCCCTGCCTCCTTGGCTGCTGACTGTGTTTCCTTTCAGAGGGTGTCACCCCAGTGGTGGGACAGCCCCAGGGGGTTCCTCTCCCCCCTCCCGAGTTCGGACCCCCCCCATATGAGCCCCCCTCGCAGCCGGGGTTCATCCCCCCCCACATGCCCACGGATGGCTCTGGGCCCTACGTGCCACCAGGTGAGTCCTGCAGGGGCTGGGGACAGGGTGGGGGCTGGCAGCAGCAGCACCAGTGTTTCCTGGTGCCCAGGAGGGGGCTGGAGCTGCCATTTGGAGCTCGCAGGAGGTTCCCTGGGCTGGGGTGGGGGGCACAGTGCTTGTGGCAGGGCTGGCACCAAGGCTGCACTCAAAGGGGGGGGTTGCAGCAGGGTGGGCTCTCCCCAGTAGGGATCTGGGCTCTCCCACCATGTGCAGAGGTGCTCACTCGTTTGTGTTTCTCATTCACAGCAGGATATTACCCACCCCCAGGCCCCCACCCCCCCATGGGCTACTACCCTGCCCCAGGCCCCTACCCCTCTCCTGGTGGCCACACGGCCACAGTGCTGGTGCCCCCGGGAGCTGCCACCACGGTGACAGTGCTGCAGGGAGAGATCTTCCAGGGAGCCCCTGTGCAGACTGTGTGTCCCCACTGCCAGCAAGCCATCACCACCAAGATCTCCTACGAGATTGGGCTCATGAGCTTCCTCCTGGGCTTCTTCTGCTGCTTCGTGGGGTAGGTGCTGCAAGCAGAGCTGGGGCCTCATGCTGGGTACCCCAGTGCTGGTGGCCTCGGCTGAGCTGTTGGGCACGGTGGGGACCCTGGCACAAGGGTGGCACTGGAGCAGCACAGGGGTTCCTGGGTGACAGCCCCTCCAACATCTCTTGCCCCGTGCCCAGGGGCTGCCCCAGCTCAGCCTCTCTGCCTGTCCCTGTGCTCCAGGTGTGATCTCTGCTGCTGCCTGATCCCCTGCCTGTTCGATGACTTCAAGGACGTGACACACACGTGTCCCAACTGCAAGGCCTACATCTACACGTACAAGCGCATGTGCTAACGGCACCCGGGAGCCTCTGGAACGCCGCCGGCCCCGCCCCGCTGCCGTCCGTCCATCTGTCCGTCCGTCGGTCCGTCCCCGCGTGTGCATCGCCCTCCCCTCGCTTCCCGCCGGTGGTGTGTGTGTGTGTTATCCCCGGCTCCTCCCGCAGAGCTGCCAGCACTGCCCCGGCTCTGCTCCTCACCGGGAATAGTTGGGTTGGTGACATGGGGGCACGGGGGCGGTGTGGGAGCTGCCCTGCAGTGCACAGGCAGGGGGGGCATCGCTCTGCACCCCGTTACACTGCAAGTGTGAGCGAGGCCCCCTCACCTGGAGCAGCTGCTGGAGGTGCCCAGCCCAGTCCCACAGTGCAGGGGGTGCCCGGCTGCAGGATGGGCCGGGATGGGAGCCCAGGAGGGGACCCAGGCAGCCCACGGTGCCCTCAGGGGATGCAGCACAGCCTTTGTGGCACTGTCAGCAAGGGGCTCAGTGACAAGGACACAGGGCAGTGCCACACACCAGTTTCCGTGTGGTTCCAAGCCCCTTCCCGAGGGGAGGCAGAGCTGCCTGTAAGCACAGAGAGGGGCCCGGCAGCAGCACCGCACCCTTATCAGCACCTCCGTCCTGCCCGGCGGCCGCTCCAGCTGCATGCGCCTCCTCCTCCTCCTCCTCCCAGCCCCGCCGGCTCCGGGGGCAGGACAGCCCCAGGCAGCCCCGGCCCCCGAGCGCCAAAGCACACCCGGCATGTCCCGGCTGCCCGGCTCGTAGAGTAGAGGAGTTTGTAACCAGGCTGCAGCTCCAGAGCCGCCCTGGGCCCCGCAGGGTCTCCTTGCATGTGGTGTAGGGGGTGTTTGAGCTCACTCACCTGAGGCAGAAGGAAGGGGCAAGCAGGCAGCACCAGGAGCTGCCAGCAGCGCTCCCCCAGCAGGGTGAGAGGGGCTGGGAGCCGAGTTCAGCCTCTCGGGCTGCTCCTCCCGCCCCTTCCCCTGCAGCTCTCAGAGCAAAGTGGGGAGGGCTCTCAGTACACAGGTCTGCAAACACAGCCTGGCCTGCACAGGCAGCTGCTGTTTGCTCAGGGCTGGAACTGTGGCACTAGTCAGTGTTTTTATGTAAATAAATAACAGACCCTGAACTGGTGTGAGAAATCTTTTCTTCTCTCCTGCTCAAAATTTACAGCAGCTCTGCCTGCAGGAGAGATGAGGATAAAGGCAGGGTGGGGGTACAGGGGTACCAAGCACAGGAGGAAGAGCAGCAGCTTCTCTACCCTACCAGGAACCCCTCACACAGGAGAGCCCCAAGCCCTGACAGCACCTGGCTGTGTCCTCAGCAGGGCAATGAGACTCCCCAGGGGAAATAGCAGGGACAGAGGGGTGCCAGGGCAGGAGTTTCTCAGGGACTGCATCAGTCAGAGACAAGTGAGACAGTGTGGGACTGCACTCCCTTTCTCCCCCTTACCCCCTCCCCAGCCCCCCTATTCTCACAATGATGTGCTTTTAGCTTCCTCCAGCTACAGCATTGCAACTTTTTATTCCAGTCAAGGCTTCAGGAGAAATAACCAACAACCGACCCTCAACCCCAAAGTTGCACAATACAGATCTGTCACCTCCATTCCCCACCATGGTCCTGCCCCCATCCCCAGGGAGCTCCTTCCAACAGGAGTCAGACTTGGTTCCTCAGACATTGCACCAAACAGGACACTGCTCTCAGCCCCCTGGCACAGCCTCAGCTCCTCAGGGTAGGAAAGCAAGTGCTCCTTGTTTCAAAGGCTGATGACATTCTGCAGATGCAACCCAGGGCAGGAAACCCCCTCCAGACACTGCTTCAGGGATGGAGATGAAAAGCCAAGCATGTGAAGGACAGGACATCTCTAGCCTTAAAAAGCCCAGCCTGGGCAGGGCAGTGCTGCAGTGGAGCCCTCAGCCCCTGGCACTGACCAGTCCTGTGCAATGTTCAGCTAAAGAGGTGTCACAGGGCTGTGCAAGGAGGTTGGACAGTCCCACAGGATTCCTGTTTCTTTCCTTACTCCACTCTGCAGCCAACTCACCAGCAGCAAGGGAAGGGTTGGAAAGCAGGCAGGGCACATCTCTGCCCTTGCCCCAGGCAGAGCCACACCTGACTGTGCCCTCACAGGATGTACCAGGCTGCAGCTCCCGCTGCCACGGCCATGCAGGCTGCCAGCACCAGCTGCACCAGGGGCTGCCTGGCCAGGCCCACAGCAGCGTGGAAGGGGCAGCTGGGGCCTGCTGTGCCTGCAGGACACAGAAAGCACCGTTAGCACCGTCACTCTGTGCCACACACCCGTGGCAGCCCCCTTGGCACCACCTACCCAGTTTGTCCGCATAGTACGGGCACTTGCGGATGTCTCCCTTGCCATCGTGGACTGGCACGCCTCCATCCTGGGCTGCTTCTCCCAGCGACCTGCCAACCTTGTCCAGCTCATCAAACACCTGCAAAGGTCACAGTGAGCACGTGAGCAGGCAGAGCCAGGCAGAACAGACCCCTGCAATCACCTGGGGAACAGAACAAGCACCACTCCTGCCTCCCTGTGCCCAGCTGCCTTTCTGGGGTGACACCTGGCACACACTGAGCTCCAGGAAGGCACAGCTCGTTCCAAGAGCGTTCAGTCAGAGCCAGGAGCAAGGCAGCACCACCCTGCTGTGGGTGGGAGTGTGGGCCAACAGGCTCTGCCCTCCCTGCTGCAGAGCCCTGGAGGATCCCAGCTCCTGCAGTGGTCAGGCAGCCCCTCTCACTGCCATGGGATTCCATAAGGATCCAACCACACCTCATCACGTTTCTGGCCAGCTTCAATCACACTGACCTGCTACAAGCACAAGATTAAAACTTCCATCCAGTAGCTAAATCTGTGTTCATCCCCTGGGGCAAGCAGCAGCTCAGTCAGGTTTGATGAGAGGCAAATGCTATGGGAGGAACAGGAAGCTCCAGACATTTCTGACCATGGGCAACAAGTCAGACCTGAGACAGGAGATGAATTGTCACCAGGGTGGTGCAGCACACTCCAACTGTTTGAGGCTGTCTTGGCACAAGAGCTCTGCTCCCCTCACTGCTTCACAGCCACACAGCCTGTGGAATCTTCAAGTCCTAATAATTTTGCCTTAATCAAGGTGCTTGGCTGTGGTGTTGGAGCATGGGAGGAATTCCTGCCTGAAGTTAGAGAAAACTAGTTTAACTAGAACCCCAACCCCTCAAGGAGGGGCTGTGGTGGTCTCACCCCAGACCACTGACTGCGTGAGTGGTGTGACCTAAAAGCTGCAGCACCTACACATCCAGATCAAGGGATTTGCTTAGTTACCTGCATGTTAAATCTGAAGGCTTTGTTGGCCTCTTCCACGATCCTTTCCTTGGTGTTCTTGTCCAAGTCCAGAGCATTCATTCTTGCTCTGTAAAGCTGCTTGAACTGCTGTGCGTTGGAAATGTTGTCAAACACGTAGAATTGGATCCCTTCCTCAGTACTGGGCAACTTCAGGGCCCTCTGGGCGACCTTCTTCAGCACCTGGCCACCTGAGAGGTCCCCCATGTAGCGTGTGTAAGCGTGAGCCACCAGCAGCTCTGGCTCGTGCTGTCCCACATGATGGATTCTGTCCACATACTGCTGAGTTGCCTCTGAACACTGGATCTTTTCTTTCCAGTCTTCCCCATAAAAATATTTGAGGTCTTTGGCCAAAGCTTCTCTCCGGTGGAGCTCCACGGGGAAGTACAGAGGAGCAAAGACAGGGTTGTCCTTGTTGTGATCCATCTCCTCCTCCAGAGCAGAGTAGGTGAAGTAAAGGGCCACAGTGGCCAGCTATGGACAGAGCACAGCTCATGTGAGAAGCTGCTCACTAGATGGGCACAACTCATCTCATGACTGCTCCTGCCTGCATGGAATTGGGGCAAACAAGAGCAAACCCCCAGGCCTGGCACAGAACCAGCCTGGAGGGCCTGTACCAGGCAGGCACTGCTTAAAGAGCCAAGGCTCTGCTCTGCCCACCACCATAGCACCCCAGGGCTCTGCCTTTGAGTCTGCATCAGTCACTGGGAGCATCAGAGATGGGGAGCAGAGCAACACCCACCTTGAAGAGGTCCTTCTTGATGCGGCCCTTGAGGAAGTCCTTGACAAACTGGGTGTTCTCGGCGCGGTCGTGTGACTCCTTCGTGCCCTCCTTCAGCAGCTCCGAGAGGTCCATGGGGCTGCAGGCAAACACAGGGCTCCTTTCAGCCCTCAGCCCCACAGAGCTTGTCCCCACTGTGTCTGGAGGGATCCCCACCATCCCAGTGTGGAGAATGCACAAGGTGGGACCCTCAGGGCACCCCGCAGGCTGAGCTGGCCCTGCTGGAGGAAGCAGCAGGGTGGCACAGCCCCTGTGCCAACCACAGCTGCCACCCCAGCAGGGCTGGGGCTTACCAGGGGCTCTGGACCAGGACCTGCTGATCCCTGCACCTTAACTTTTGCTTCTCATCCAAGTGAGCCCAACACTACACAAGGAAGCCTTGAGCTTATGGGGAGCATCAGAACAGGCTAAAGGGCATGGGGGCCTTGGTGGTATCTTCTGGTGGAGAACAAAAAAGGTTCAGGTAGGTCCCCCAGCTTGCCCAACTTGGATATCAACTGGTGAAGAGATGGGAGCTGAATGGCAAAACAGGGCAAAAACACCCTTTAAAAGTTTATTTCTCCTGCATGACACTGTTTTTTCAAGTTTCCTCAAGGTGTCTTGTTTTAAAAAAGACCCAAAACATTTAAGTCTATTATTTAGTCTACAGACACTGCACCTACCTGGACACAGAATGAACTGGGTTGGAAAAGACCTTTGAGATCATCAAGTCCAACCTATGACCTAACACCTCCTCATCACCTAAGCCCTGGCACTGAGTGCCACATCCAGGCTGTTCTTAAACACACCCAGGGACAGTGACCCCACCACCTCCCTGGGCAGACAATTCCAGTGCCCAGTCACTCTTTCAGTGAGGAATTTTTTCCTGCTGTCCAACCTAAACTTCCTCTGAGGCAGCTTAAGGCTGTGTCCTCTCATTCTGTCAGTGGTTGCCTGGAGAAGAGCCCAACCCCTCTGGCTACAGCCACCCTCCAGGTACAGCATCAGGACATTGGTACAGTATCAACACTCACTCAAATCAGGCCAAAGTGCACCTCACAGGTTTTATCACTCCTTTGCTACAGCTAGCACACTTGTGTTAGCTCTGAGAGAGGCTTTGAACACTCCAGACCCACTGAGTGTGCCAGCAGAGCCAGCAAACATTCACTTCTCAAGAAGCTGAGCCTGTCAAGTCAAAGATATCAACCAGCCTGTCTAGATCTTCTAGAAAGCACCCTAGTCACCCCTCCTGTTCCAAGTCTGAAGCCTTGGCTTTTAGAACATGTGTGTGAAT